TTTCTGGGTCCGAACCGGGTATTTGACATTTCTTTTCTTATTACCTATAGCCTATGGGGGATTTTTACCTATATCTCAGGTTGGATTTAACAATATAGAAACCATATTATATTTTCCGTCTGTATTCAATATGGCATTTAACAGATGAAACCCACGTGTGATAAAATAATAGTTTTCACAATGATTTTATGTGGTGAAAAACTACGTGTATCCTATGTGCAAATTTTTCACTGATATTTATTCAGGTAGGGGAAGGGGGCGGAGCACAATCCTCTATACAACTTCCAGCCTGCAGGAAAACGGCATCTGTTCTTTTTAAAACTCTGGAGAGCAATCTTACTCGTCTTCCGTCCTATTAGTCTTCTTCTAATCAAAACTACCGTCCTATAAGTTTTCTTCCAATCAAAACTACCGTCCTATTAGTCTTCTTCCAATCAAAACTACCGTCCTATTAGTCTTCTTCCAATCAAAACTACCGTCCTATTAGTCTTCTTCCAATCAAAACTACCGTCCTATTAGTCTTCTTCCAATCAAAACTACCGTCCTATTAATCTTCTTCCAATCAAAACTACCGTCCTATTAGTCTTCTTCCAAAAGCATGTTTTTTAAATCTTTAATTAAAAAACACCTAATCTTTCATCTACTAACTTTTTTTGATTTGCTAACAGTAATATCCGATAGATTTATTTGTGCATTATATAGATGTTAAGGCTATTGCTCTCAACATTTCTAAACCTTTTGATAATGTTTAGCATGCTGGTCTTCTCCATAAGCTTTTTACTTACGGTGTATTAGGTAACATTGTTAAGATTATTAAATCTTTTCTTATAAATCGTAGTTTAAAATTGCCATTGATGGACAGCACTCTTCTTTATATCCTGTAACTTCAGGGGTTCTTCAAGGTTCAATCCTTGGCACAATACTCTTTTTAATTTACGTTAACAATTTTCCAGAAGTTCTCACATAGTTGATGATACTACCAATTATTCTTGTCTTGATTAGAAGTTAACACTCTCTGATTAATGAGGGGATCTGATTTCTTGAAAAGGGTATCACTTCTCCTACAGCATTGGCCTCTCAGTGGCTGGTGAACTACAGCTCAGATAAAACTTAATATTTTTTAGCTAACTTTTATCGCAATAATCTAGAACTTCCTATATTTATAATAGGATACTATAATTATCAGTCATCTACCCTTTATCTTTTAGGATTAATTTTCACTTTGGATTTTTCTTAGGAACCATATATCAAAATGGTAGTAAAATTAGCATCTGCTAAGGCTTAACCTTTTTATCATTGTCTCCACTTTTTTACTTCAGATTCTATCCTTTCTTTCCATAAATCTTAAATTTGTCCTTGTTCGAAATACTGTTGTCATATAAAGGACGGATCTTTCGATGATGCTTTGTCTCAGTGAGAGAAGGTGCAAAAACGCATTGTAAACATAGTTCGACCTGCTCTTGCAGCCAACCTTCAACCATTATCACATCATCGTAATGTTTCTTCTCTTTCTCGTTTCTATAAATACTATAATAGAGTTAGCGTCTCTTGAGCATTCCTCGTGTTACTCATTATTCAATTCAATCTTATTTCTATTTACTGTTTTTTTTAATCGAACATCAGTTTTTTGGAATTTTCTTTTTTTTTATCTTGTTTTTCTGATTCATATAATTTGCAATCTTTTAAGTTGTTCTTATCACGAGTACTTGCCTCAGAAACAAAAAATCCGTGGTTCAAACCTCACCTCTGGAAAAGTTTCGCAACATCGGTTAGGTAGGAAGCACAAACTTGTATTCTGTGATAAGACCGTAAAGACTTCTTGAGGCACCCAGGGCAGTGGAGTCAGTGTCGGAGTTGCAACATTTTTAGTGGAGTCAGAGTCGCTAAACAAAATCGCGATTCTGACTCTAATAGTAAAACTTCCCAGTATTGCACGTGCATGTTCAAAATATTCAATTTTTTTTTTATTCAACTCTATCAATAAAAATTTACAAATGCTCATCGTAGATTAATAGAATTTAGTTACGTATCACTCATATAGTTACAAACTGTTATCTCTCTTTCATTAACAAAATGTAAATGAAAGAGAGAAAAAAAGAACATATATCATTATTATTTGTTAAACAAATAATAATGGTATATGTAATAATTATAATAATAATAATAACAATAATAATAATAATAATAGCAATAATAATAATAATAATAATAATAATAAGGTATAATAATATGAGGAATAATTATAATACAATATAAATTGTATGTACATATCCTAGATAATAATTAAATATAGTAATAACATAAAATGTAGTAACAATAACACAATAATAAATAAATATAATATAGATAAATAGTTAACAAAGCAAAAATCAAACCACTTGTTCGTTAAAGAAATTATATATCAAAGGCAATTTAAGTACTGAAAGAAATTGTAAAGAAATACACTCCAACAATATTTCTTAAAATTGAAATCTGTTGAGCAGTAAATGATCCGTAAAAAGGGAACATTTTTTTAAATTTTATTAATGCAGGAATATACTGGTTCCATGGGGAAATACATTTTTATTTAATGGAAAACTTACAATATTTAATTGTGTTGAAAAAAGAAGAGTATAGCTTACTATTTTCTGTATTCCTGGTGTGATCATTGTGAATTTCATTTGTTTTAATAAAAGAATTTAAAAAAGAGTTTGGTAGTTTATTTTGGAGAAAGTCAAACACAAATAGACAATTGTAAAACTATTCAAGATTATGGAATTTTAGGATTTTTAATTCAGAAATTTTTTTTGAATATCAGATCTCATTGGTAAAAATATCATTAATCTAATGCCATTAAGTAAAAAATTACTTTTTTGACCCCAAACAAAACAACAATAGCAAAGGTGAGAAGAGAGTAAAGAAGAATAAACCCTTCGAAGAGTTTGGATAAAAACATAGTAACGAATTTGAGAAAGCATACTGTTAACTCGTGTAATTTTTTTTAAAGATGATACAGTTGGTTATAACAAGATAGGTTTTCATCAAGATATACTCCAAGATACTTTATATATTTTGACGGAAAAAGTTTTTTCCCGTTAATTTTAATTTTAATATTATCAATAGTTTTTTGAGGGGAATGAAAAATAATGTATTCTGTTTTATTGACATTCAATGAAATACGATTACTATTTAACCAGTTACATAAGCGATGAAGATCTTGATTAACTTTTTTACAAAGAGTCGTAAGTGATTTGTTGATGTATAATAGATTGGTATTTTATAATTACTTTATATTCATATTTTAACAAACTTTTCATAAATTTAGTAAAATTTTTTTTTTAATTATCGCGTTATATCTTTTATTGCATTCAAAGAATTTTTTTAAAATTTGGCTTTAAAGTAGGAGTCGGAGTTGGAGTCGGAGTCGGGATCTGAAAATTAAAACGATCGGAGTTAGAGGTAGTTTTTTTTACGACACCACACTCCAGGAGGCACCTAAAGTAAAAAACACGAAAACAAAAAAAAACATGTTCTTTTTAATTATATAAAAAAAACTTCGAAAGTATTGGAAAACAGCAAAAAACACATAAAATGCTTATTTAGTTGGAAAATATATTCATATTAAATTTATTTATAAATAAAAAACATAAAGCTCTAGACAAAAAACGAACACATATTTTTAGAACTTTTTAACAAACATTATCCCTATATTAGGCTTAATTGCTTTATTAATTTAATTTTTTTAATTGTTGCGCGTAGTTAATTAATTTGCATATATTTCAACATTTACTTAAATATTTTCACAAGTTTATAAAAAGCTTATAATAGAAATATTCAGAATAATTTATTAATAACAATTTTTATACAGTGAGTTTTTATTGAATAAATTATAAAAAGCTGCAAAGTATCTTCATCGGGTTTTTGGACCTTTTTGCTCAACGGCTTTATAATGCTAAAAATTACCATCATTGGGTTTACCATCAATTACCACTTACTTGTTTCGGTTTGTTAACGATTAACCTTAGCTGCTCATTAAAACGTTTCTGTACCAAGGTCTTCTTCTTTTTCTTTTGTCATTTTTTTTCTTTTTTAGCTGACCATGTTTGAAATGACAGGTTGTAGGAAATATGTAATATTATTTCTATACCCCGAATTCAGGCATGTGTTATCGACAGTCCTTATTGAAACGAACAATCACTTTCGGGCCTAGCAGACACTTTAGTTAAATCGTTCACTTGTCGTGGAGTAGCTCCACATATTGCACACGTAGACGAAGAAGGCGTATCCGTTAATTCCTGAGTCACTTTTCCATCTATCATTGTTAAATGTTTATGTTTCACTTGTATTCCTGTACAACATTTGTTATTTATAGATGGCCGTAAAGAGTATATTTGGCTTTTTATTTCATCGACAAAACCAATAATATACTAAAAATATAATGCATGTTCTGTTTCTTACTAGGAACACTTTTTTTATCTATAATTTTGGAAACCGCACGATCCACACCTGATTTTTAATAAGTCAATTTTATAGACACCTAAGCTACAAATCAATTATAAAAATAAAGCGTGGGGAAAAGTGGGTGACTGTTAAATATACCGGTGAACTTTAAGAACTTTTAATTTCTAGCTCTTTTTATTTCAATTAATTATTAGTAAACAAAACCATATAATTAAAAATATCAATTTATTCTAAAATTTCCATAACATGATGCTTTCAAAAATGTATAACACTTTATACTTATTCATAAAAAGTTCTATAGAAAATAACTTGATGAGTGATGAAGGAAATAAGCTTCAATTAAATATTAAAAAAAAATGAAACAATAGAACTTCAAAAATTACATTAAAATTTTCACATTAAATTAGCTACAATTGCTATATTATTGTAAAGATTAACTGTTAAACTATAAAAAAAAATCAAAATAAAACTTCTTTTGTGATATTGAAACTTGAGCAAATAACATTTATGGTTCGTTCTTGTAGTACAGAGTGTCGGGTAAAAATTAGGTATTGGTATCGGTATCAGTATCTAGAACAGGTTCGCAATGGCGCATTATTTAAATTTGGACTTAGTTCGCCTTTTATTTTAAGCGATATTTTGCTAACCTTTTGCTTAATGGTGGTTAGAAATTAATGTAAATAGCTACAAAATCACTTTCTTATGAAAATTGCTTCATGTTTTTACAAACTTTCATTAGTAAAGTAGATGGTTAACTGCTATTTAGTTAAAAGAGTACCAAAAGTTAGAAGTAAATTGAAACCATGTATACATTAAATATGTTTCTAAAAAATATAAGGAATTATTCATGTTTAATTCCAAATAAAGTTTGTAAAAGATTGTTCAGTCTGACGTTTATTAAACAAGTTAATACATGTGTGACGAATTGGGAGTTGTCAAAAAAATATTTGTTGTTAAATTTTTCTGATCACGAAGAACACAAATAGTAAATTTCTTTATGTTTTATATGTATATTTATCTATATGTACGTTTTATATTTTTTATTATGACTATTTTTTGTAACTGCTTCACTTTAGTAGCATGTAGTAATAATAAATATGCTTAAATAGTAAAAAGAAAAAAAAAAAAATTTTTTTCAATAACTTCAGTTTGTTAAAACTTATGGTTACATGGATACAATATGATTATATAATAAAGTTCTATTTAAATCGTAAAAAGAGTTTTTATCAAAATAATTATTCAAAATTCTATAGTTTTAAATGTAAATAATAGACTGCAGTGCACATTAATGTAAAAAGGCTCAGATAATTGCTTTTATTTTAATTTATTAGAGAAAAAAAGCAAAAAGGATAATCCCAAACTCTGCTAGTGCAAATATATATATTTATATCAAAAATCAGAATTAAAGAATTATCTTTTAGTTCGGCTAAATTATATTTTTTTAAGTGGTAAAAACAGCTCATCTATTTTAATAAAGATAAATAAAAAATCACAAGTTCATAAGGGTGATTCCATGTCAAACAACCCAAATAGTTCTTTAAAATGTCACCCTATATCTCAGATTTTCCTGATTTCTATACAGTTGGTAGTACTCAGTAAAATAAGAATTACTTTTACCTTATAAAATATTAGCCTCTGGCTAAAAGAAGATCCTAAAAATTTCATTTTTACCACTTTGGCGCTGCCTTTCTTGTCCTCCTAGAATTGCAATCTTTATTTAGAGGTTTCAAGTTACAAAATTCTAAAAGTAATTAATTTTTTTATTTAAAAATTTATACTTGACTATTCAAGGGTGGTTAATTCATGATTAAAAAATGTAAAAAATTATTTTTAAGTACCTGTATTTGAAAATTTAAATAAATTTAAGCAAATTTTTTTATACCTGATTTCAATGTTCAAGCAACCTATGTTGCCTTGTTGCCTTATATTAAAAATATAAATACTTCACATCATTCTTTATTCAAAAAAAAAAAATAAAGGTTTTGATGATGATGCAACTAAATATAATTGTATACTTCCAATTATTATAGTATGACCGTTAATGTTTCTTAAGCAAATCTTAACATAATCCTGACACTTTATATTTTGTATTTTATTTTGTAAATAAGACAGATTAGAAACCAAAATACTTTTTGAAGACAATATTTTCAAAGTTATCTTTGCATTATTGAAAATTAAAAAAAAAAAAATTAAATGACTAAGGCTATTGACATAGAACCCAGGATAGAAATTTAAAAATGCTTCAGGACTACACATGCTAAAAGTTTCAAAGCTCCACTTCCCCCTTCCCCCACCCTATATCTTAAGCTCTGTTAAACGATTTTATAATGCACATTCATTAGCATTACAGAAATGTCAAAATTTTCAGAGCTTCAGATAGTTTGGAAAGTAGTGAAAAATCAATTGCAATATTCCATTACAAAGTGGGGACTGCACCTCGTTATCCATAAATGAAAATCTATATACTTGTAGATCAAAATCTTTATATTTTTTAAAAAATCACATTTTTTGAAAGATCACAGTAGATATAAAATTATGTAATAATTTTTTTTTTTTTTGATATCATGAAGCCCCATTTTTTTGTCTCTAGTGAACCTATAAAGAATTTTGGCCAATTTTGACAATCAAAGATTGTTGTTAAAGATTTTAATGGCTCTTGATAGAATTCATGACAGAATTGTTTGTCTATATATTCTTTTGCTCTGTCAATATTTTTGATAAAATATTTTTTATTACAATCAAAATAATCATTTGGTTGTTGTCTAACAATCTCATCGATTCTTTACTTTTGTAGATTAACTAATCTTCTTTTACTTCTAGATCAAAAGTATCTTATATATCAAAACTTACATACTCTTTTCTCCAACAAACATTCATGAAAACCAACAATCATTTTTGAAATTTCATCTCTTATATCTAAATTGAAGCGGAAAAAATCATAAGGTCAAAACAGTATTCCTACAAACATTCTTATTGATTTTAACTACAAGTTTTCAAATATTCTCTCTAAACTATTTAATATCTCATTCATGAATGGAACTTTTCCTAATATTTTAAAATTATCTTGTATTATTCCAATTTTCAAAAATGGCTCTAAACGTTTATGTACTAATTATAGACCTATTTCTCTTTTTTCTAACATTATTAAGCTTCTTGAAAAATTAATGTATTCTAGGGTGGACTCTTTTCTAAACTCTTTTAACTGTTTAAATAAGTTTTAATTTGGTCTTCAATCAAACCATTCTACCTGCCACCCACTGATAAGTATTACTGAAAAAATTAGAAAAGCTCTTGATACTGGTCATTTTGCTTGTGGTGTTTTTATTGATTTACAAAAAGCTTTCGATACCGTTGATCATAGCCTTTTAATTTCTAAGTTAAAACATTATGGAATTCGTGGAGTTGTAAGTGATTAGTTTTGATCTTATCTTTTGGATCGGAAACAATATGTAAGTTTTAATAGTTATACTTCTAGTAACAAACCTGTTACATGTAGTGTTCCTTAAGGTTCTGTTCTTGGTCCTCTTTTGTTTTTATTTACATTAATGATCTAAACAACTCTGTTCACTTCTAGTCAGTTCATCTTTTTGCAGATGATACCAATCTCTTGCATATCAACAAATCATACTATTCTATATGTAAAAATATAAATTTGGATCTTAAAGACATTAGTTAAATGCCAACCTAATATGTCTTAACACTGAAGAGACTAAACTAATTTTTTTTTATCTTCTAGAAAAAACTGTAACAACAACAGAAAAAACTGTAACAACGTTGATATTAAAATCAAAATAAATAATAAATAACTATATACCTCAAGAATTATTAAATATCTTTGTGTTTTTATTTTATCTTAGTTATTGTTGTCAAGTTTGGGGTCAAACTGGCAACTACCTTATTACGAAACTAATGTCATCTAAACGCCAATCCATTAGAATAATAAACTTTCAACCTTTCAAATCAGATAAGTATAAATAAGTCATTAAATAAATTATCATACAAATAAATCAGATTCTTTTAAAAAACTTAAAATTCCAACCTATCATTTGCTAGTAAAGTTTGCTAATCTTCTCTTTGTTTTTAACTTTTAAAATAAAAATTTACCTTCTTCTATTGCAAACTTTTTTATAGAAAGTAGACTAATTCATACACACTCTACACGAAATATAAATAATGAAAAACTTATTGTACCATCATATAAAACTCAAAAGTATGGTAAGAGTTCTGTTGTGTATCAGTGCATCTGTGAATGGAACAAGAGCCTTGTGCAGGCCTTGTGATGAATAAAAACTGTATATTATTTGCTTTTCATATTTATTGACATTAACTGCACTAATTTACTATATTACCGCAAAACTACTTTAAATCATAAATGTAGAAATGTTATTATTTAAAAATGTTTTGGAATGTTTCGTTTTTTAAAATGTAAAAATATTTGTTTATTTTCTCGACGTTTGATGCGTTTTGTCTATACTAAACAAATAAAAAACATTTTAACTAAACATTTAAAAAAGATTGTAAAATATGCTAATATTTGATTTTTTTTTCTTAAATATGTAATTTAAAGTTTTTTCGCTTTACATCGCTTTACATCGGTAGAAACTAGGTAACAAAACCAGGTTATATAAACTTAGCAAACTATTGACGTTCTATTTTTCAGCAGCTGTTCTTGAGCACGCTTCGTTGAGTTTCAGTAACTTTTAACAAAAAAAGCGATTGTTATTACTTATGTAATTTTTTTTTTAGTTACTTTTTACAAAAATTTTAATAACTGTACTTTTTTATTGAATCAAGTAGAATACGTTTTAATATTAATCTTTTTATTTTTTTTTTATATTTGCGCTTACCTATTTTTAAAATGTTTCCTCAAAATTACTCTTAAATACTTTAAATACGTCACACAGTTAATAAATATTTTTAAATCTATGGAATAATTTTAAAACCTAACAAACCCCCATAAAATAATTATTTAAGTTAAAAATCTAAAACCAAAAGAAAGTATTTTTGTTCAATTTTATCGACAACTTTGCTATTGCTGAATAATTTCATTAAAATATTAGCTTAAAAAGATTTAAACTTTTTAATTTTTTTGTAATTCAAACTTTTATATCAACTGTGTGCGGTTTTTGAAATACTTTATTAAATGTTAAAATAATCGTAATTTACTTCATTAAAATTTCGCTCAAAAATATCTTTAAATATACTTAAACAAAAAATTTTTTGCTCGACGCAAATAGCCCTAGCTACATGCAAAATCGCTCTTGGATGACATAAAATAAACATCGGCTGACGTTTTATTGCAAGGCCTGCTTGTGTGCATTGTGAATGAGTTCAATAAACTCCAACTCCTTTGTCATCTTTTCTTAATCATAATCAAAATTAATTTTAAAAAATTCTGAAAAATATTTTGTTATAATTTTTTTCTATTACTATAATAATTATCCTTTTTTTTTGTTTGTTTTTCTTTTCTCTTTTATTATTACCTACATATATGATTTTTAAAAAGTTTACTTTATGTGTGTCTATGTTTTATGTTTTTTATCTATATGCTTATTATTAGTCATATTATTTTGAAAAATGGTGTCACTAGATTTGATCAGACTTCTGTATGTGTGACACCATCCATACTAATCATTAACTTATTATAATAAGAAATAACATATCATTTTGCTTATTTTTATTATAGTAATTATTATTATTTATAATTTTGTTTTTGTTTTTATTATTATTATTGTTATAAATTATTACTATTGCTTATTATTTTATAATTATTATTGTCATTATTAATCACCTTATTATTGTAAAAATGATTTTAAAATGAAAAATAAATAGCTTGTTGTTGTTGTTGTTGTTGTTGTTGTTGTTGTTGTTGCTGTTGTTGTTGTTGTTCTAAATTATCTAGTAAATGTCCAATATTCAAGCCTGAATTAACTGATAACGCCCTATATAGTACAGCAGTTCTAGCATCAATTTTATGCAAAATCTTACAAATTAAATTTTTTTCTTTTTGAAACTCCAATGACAATGTTGTTATTGATTGAATATCTTGAATAAAATGTAAATAAAATAAAAATTGTGGGTCTTTTATGAAAAACAAAAATCTTTTAGCTTTCTGTGCAGTTTTGTCTTTTTTATTTGCCTTGCTTTCTAAATCATAAATAATAACTTTATAGTCAGTTTTAAGCTATTCTTAACATTCTCGGCTAGCTAACCAACAAATATTTTTTAATCTCCCAAGCTGTTTATACTCTTTATTTAAAAAAGAAGCTATTTCTTTCAGTTTCTTTTTTCACTGCGATGAATAATAGTAAAAACAATACAAACTATGAATAATGTCATTTAGCTTATTTAAATAAATATCAAACTTTTCTAGTCTAACACAGAAAGTTCTAACCTTTGCGCCACGCAATGGGTTTATACTATACTGAGGTTTTTATCTCGCATTTTAGTTTAAACACCAGCTTTGTTACCAGACATTACAGATGTACCATCAAAGTTAACATTTAAAGTTTTTTTATAGATATTGTTTAAATATAAATCTTGATTCATTATGTCTATTGTTAAACTTTTTAAAACGTTCTATTGCATGTAATATGCCAATGGCATCAACTGTCAGTGGTGAGTTATTACCAGCAAATATAGTTATTAAATAACCATTTTTAACAAATCTTGAAAAACTGTTTCTTGTTCACTAATACTCTTCTCATCAGAACCGTCAGATAAAATTGCAATAAAACAAGCATTTAAATTAAACTTAAGTTGCATTTTAAGTCAGGCGAAATTGAAAAAACAAAGTTTTTGCAAGTTTTGTCACTTAATTATTTCTTGTTTAACTTAATTCCATTTAGATTTTGTAGCTTGCAAAGCTGAGGAAATTTTTTAAATGCAAGATCCTCTTTAACAACAAAATATGATCTCCGAAAAATAATTGTGTTTTTTATTGTTTGGCGGCAAAACATTTATGGTGTTCCAAAACATAAATTCAATATCTTTTGGCCATATATCCAATATTCTGAAATATCCAAGTCATTGCACTCTTTTTCTGCTTGCTAAGTTTCTCTCTCTTCTTCTCCTTTGCATTTAATGATACGCTCCACTGTACCATCTTTCTTTAACATCGAAAAGAGGTTCAGTTTTTTTTTTTTAAAAACTTAAAAAATAATATTATATATTAAGTATTTAATAATAAGTTAATAAAAATATTATATTATTAGTGTTGTCAAATGCACAATAAAAAAAGTCTATAATAAACATAATAAATTTATATATTTTATTAGAATATGCATTTTTTAGTAAAACTTCAAAAATATTTTCAAAACTTTTAAAAGTTTTTTTAATATGCAAACAAACATTACTTCACTTTAAGGAAAATAAGGAAAAAAGAAAGCACGCTATTGAAGAAAACATTAAGCTTAAGCATGGTTTTTTTTTAAGTAATTGCAAATGCAGTCATTTTAGATAAAATTTTGAATGGTTTTGTAAGCACATGCAAAAACGGTGCTCAAACATAATTATGTTTAAGCATGCTTTTAGCATGCGTTTACAAAGCTACTTCTTTACTTTCTTCGTTTCATTGAAAAAAGTAGTTTGAGTGTAATTTCTTTTTAAGTTATTGAAAATATAATTAAAATTTTGATACTTAATTGTTTTTTATTGCAGTTATGTTTATTTTATAATAAATAAAAAACAATCAATTGCTTATTAATTATTTGGAAAAAAAAATTGCTGAAGTAGTGCGTTTGTTTTGAAATATTTGAAGCAAATGCCAATGTTTTTTTAAAGAAAAGTATAGAAACGTGAAGTTTGTTTTTCTATCTTTTTTTTAGCAGATGTTCGCATGTTTGTTGATTTGTCACGCCCTGAAAATTGCCTAAATTTATATAAATTGATAATTTCAGGAACTAAGTAATAGTTTTTCATTTCATTAGATTGGTCACCTCCAATAATAACCAAAAAATTGGTAATGTAAAAAAACACAAAAAAAAATCAATGCTGTCATGTGCTAAAATTCTTAAAAATAATATGCGCTTAAATAAATTATTAAGTCTGTAAATTATCAAGTCTGTAGACTGTGGCGTATAATATGCTGACTTTTTTTTTTCAATCAAAAAGTTTAGCCTAACCATTTTTTTTTTAATTGTTCTCTTTAACATGAGGTTTGGAACACCTTAAGTAAAAAAATCAAATGTTTTTAAAGTTATGTGAAATGAAACTTCCAATTCCAATCTAAAAAAAGTGTTGCAATTCTGAGGGGACAAGAGAGGCCTAGCCAACATCTGCTTAAACTAAAACAATCATATATCAGGATCTTCTTGGGGAAAGGGGCTAAAATTTTGAAAGAATTCTTATTTACTAAGCACTTTCAACTATATAAAAATCAGCAAAATCTGAGATGTATGGTGACATGACCTGGGTCATTAAACATGGAATTACCTATAACACAATGTCACAAGTTGGTTGTGAATTTTTAATAATACAAAGGCAGATATTGTTGATTTTCAAAAAAAAAAAGTTACTTAAAAACATTGTTGAATAAGGCAAATATAAAATTTGGTATATTAAAACACATCTTTACTTATGTTATTCTATTATAACTATACTTTCCATGTAAAAAAATATTTTGTAAAAAAAAGCATATATAAAATTGTTAAACTAAAAAATTTAAAAGTTAATTTTAAAAATGGAACCAGTTGCTAGAAAACACTAAGAAATAAATTTGCAAAATCTATTAAATAAAAATGATAGAGGCATTTTTATTTAATGTGCAAAGTTATAAACAAATTCAACAAAATTATGATGTAAATCTCTGTCCTGAAATTTTGGTTAATTTTTTAAACAATTTTTATTTAAATAATTAGTTTTTAATTTAGAAATTTTATTTAATAGTCACTATTTATGGCTTCGAGATCACTGTAGATGTTCAAAATGTTATAGCAATACAACTCATGCTAGAATTCAGCAAACACATAAAGTATTTATTTATTTTTTTAAAGGAATATTTGTATTTATTATGTTTTTGTAAATTTGAATGTGTTCTATTTTTAAGTTTTAAAATGGTTGTGTTGCAAGTTTATGATAAAATAGTAATTCACAAAGGCCAACACTCTTCTCCATATCCAGTAACTTCTGGGGTACTTCAAAGTTCTATCCTTAGTACTGTTTTGTTTTTTATCTACATTTATGAACTTCCTGACAGCCTTACATCTAAGTTTGTTAATTTTAACTCCAAGTAAACTCCAATGTTATTTACTGTAAACAACTATCGCAACACTGTCAACTTTTCTATATTAATGAATGTCATTTCTCACACTGAATCTCTTTTTTACATCATACAGATTTTCTTTAACTACTGAGCCCTCATGAAAATCATATATACAATCTATTGCAAACTTGCCATCTGGTAAGGTTGCTTCTCTTTATCGTGCTACCATTATCTTACTCTATTTTCCATTCTTTACCTCTGTAAATCTCTTATTTGTCTCTGTATGGAATACTGTTTTCATATTTGGGCAGGATAGGGATCAAATATATATTTTGAATTAATAAATTTTCAACTTACTTAAGCTTTAAAAATTGAAAAAAATTTTAAGGGGTTTTTAGTTTTAGTCTTGGTTTTTACCAAAAAAAAGATAGTTTAATACAATATCTTTTAATCAAATGCAATACGATAGGGGAAGTTAATGCACAGTTAATCAAATTGGTTTTTAAAAAATTTAAAAATCACTATATAATTATTTATCAGCTCAGCAGGGTTTTAGGATAGTTGTGTTATATAGTTCACTGCACCCTAGTACTGAGATACAGTGAATCACTACCTGGGACACAGTGAATCAATGAAGACTGCTATGAATTAATAGTAGTCAATAGGCGTGTGGTCAAGTAATTTTGAGGATGAGGGAGTAAGGACAATGTGCATTATATTTTTAGTCATTTTTGGTAATTAGATTATAAAATCATTAAAATAAATAATTTGAAAATGAAGAAAGAAAAAAAAAAGATTTTTATTGATAACAAAGCTTATTCAACCATATAAAATAACAACAATTTTTTTTGAAACAAATTAACAGAGTGCATCATCATAAGCTGTTAAGTCAAAAACGTAATCACTGGTAATCAATTTGTTTTGATTTTGGAACAAAGTTTTATTTGTGAAACCACTGGTGCCATCCATTTCATTATCTGTTAAGTCATGACTCAAAAAAATTCATCAACTACCTCATTAGACAGATTTACACAAGGTCTCTTTTTGCAAGCTTTTTTGTCTGCAATTTTAGCTGCAAATATTCTCAGGCTTGGTCGGGAAACGGGTACATTCGATAATTGACCACGGAAATATTATTTAGTTGCGAAAAACCGGCCAGATTTTTTAGTCGTTTTGAGAACATTTCAAAAACATACAAAAAAGCGCAATAAGATTAACTGGACCGACGAGAGACAGTTAAAAGAGAAAAATAGCTTTTAACACCAAAAAGCGCGAAGGGCAATTATTTTTGAAACGTCGCTCTTTTATAACTTTTTTTATAAAATAAAGCGACATTTTTTGTATAAAGTCTCTAAAGAACTCTAAAGAAACAAATGTTCTTTGATTTATCAAAGAGTATATATAATTTTTATTTATATACTTATGTCTTATTTCCAGTGCTGGATTGAGGAAGTGGGGTGGGGGTAGTAGGGCTTTAGCCGTGGGTCTCACAATATTAGGGGAAATGATGGTCAAGAAGACCATTCGGTATTTTTTAAAGTCATTTTTATGCTGTTGCACATAAAAAAAGCCGCCAAATTAGTGCAGCCCTCGGCCCTGAAAAGTCCAACAAGATTCAACCAGATGATTTATTTATAAATAAAAAAGTTTTTTTAATAACTGTTTTATGCTTCGCGTAGTTTAAAAAGTTTAACAGATTTGAAACGATTCTTCTTAATAAGATGAACAAATGAAATTATTAAATCATTGAGTTACTGTAGCAATTCAATTAGCTAAATAGAAATTAACAAAAAACGTTAAATTACTTTGTGAGGAGGAAGCGGAACTGCTTCACAATACCGCTGATGATGTTTAGTAAGTGGACTTCATAATTTTAGTTAGTATTTAAAACAGAAAAAAGTAACTTTAAGTATAACGAGTTTGTAAAAATGGCTGAAGCAAAAATAGTTAGTAAACCTAAAAACTTTTCTTTCTTGGGAAAAAGAATCAGTTATCGGGTACACTGAAGAAAATGGTTTAGTAGTTAAAATTATTTGTATTAACTTTGACGATTATTAATAATTTCATTGAAAATGCAGTTATTATTAAAATTATTTTTGTTTACAAAATCAATCGCACAAATTGCTTTAAAAGATTACATTTGAATTAAATACACATAGATAAAATTACATAAATAAAAATACATTACATACATAAAAATACATTACATACATAAAAAATACATCCCTTATATATAAAAAATAATAATATACTAATAAAATCTAAAATATATTTACAAAATGTTGACAAGTTAAAAAATATAAATTTAAAACATTTATTATTGAAACAAATGTTAGTTTCATAAACTATTTATAGCTTTGCAGATGTAGCTCCAAGAATTAAAATATTAGTTCGTTTGATAGTATACTCTTAAAATAATTTATGCTAGAAATCTTAACAAAAACGTAACAAAATTCAAATAATACAGTTTTTAAAAATATTTCAACAGAATACTCAGGACATTCGGTTATTTTTTTTTGAATACTCTAGAAATTTTGGTTAGTATTTTTTGAACCAATAAAATTAGTTGTTTGTAGATTTGGCGGGTTTTTTGTTTTCGCAAATATTCTTTTTTTATTTTTCCGCAAGATGTTTGAGAACATTCAAGTTTATTTTTGTTTCCATGTAAGTCCGTAAAACAAAATATTTTAAAATTTACGACAAAATGAACTTATTATTTTGCAGAAAAACAAGGAAACATACATAAACTTCAATGTTCTCAAAACAACTAAAAAATCTGGCCAGTTTTTTGCAACTAAATATTATTTCCGTGGTCAGTTATCGAGTGCGATCGCACCCGCTTCCCAACCAAGCCTGAATTCTGCTTAGTCATTTTTTTTCTTAGTACTTTTATATGTTTCTGTTTTCTTTTTTTCCTTTCTTTTTTTTTTTTTCTTGTTACTTGATTTTTAAATTTCAGTCTGGATGATCTATGTGTTTGGCAAAGTCCTTTTTTTACATGAGTATCTGTTCAAATTAAGGTTTTTCCTTTTTTTGTTTTATCTCTATCTTTTCTTAGTGGTGCTTTTGGAAAGGGGGTTGTTTCTTCAAAGACAGTTTTGTGGTTGAAGATCCTGGTATTTTGAATTCTTTAAAGTTAGAAGTTGAAAGTTTAATATTATGATATAATGGTGTCTTTTGGTTTTGATCTTTGAAATCAACATTGGATTGTTCTATTGTACAATGAGTGACATAAGAGCCAAGAAAGTCTTCATAGCTAAAAATCACTGTATTAAATGGAAAAATCCATGTACTTTGAAATCCTGACACTATATTTTTAGACGAAAATGCCAAAAAGAAATGAATACCAACCAAGCTTTAAGTCTCATAAAGTGTTATAGGTTTACCTGAATTGTTCCCCATAAAAGAATTTGCAGCATGACTATAGAAGGATTTAAATGGTTTCTAGACAGTTCTGCTTAAAGGTTGTAGTTTGTGGCTTCAGTAAGGTGGTAGCATGACAACCTTTTTTTCTTTTGCTAGATCAATTATCCTAGTAGTGATTTTCATGATTGTCTAAAGTCAATAAGTCCAGTTGCTCATTTGAATTTTTTGTTAATGTAATAAAGTGTTTTATAAATAAATAAAAACTTTCAGGTGTCATTCAACCTGAAAGCGAGCTGTTCTTACTGTTCCAGGTGGAACACTTTGTACTATCAAGTCTTTAAAATGTACTCTAGATAACACCATAAATGGAGGGATTACATTTCCTATAGCATTTAATGAGGCAAGTAATATAACCAGAATAACCCTCTCTGTTAAAATAATTATTCCTACTCCCAATTTTTTGTACAGTTTTACATTGTATGTCATTATATAATTAAAATTATATTTTCTAAGAATTTTTTTCAGATTTTTAAAAAACTCTGCAACATTTGTTTTATTAAAACTTGATGTATGTGACAAACTCATTAGCGAAAAATTGTAGGCATTTATAGTTTTATGTGTACATCATCAAGACTTCATCAAGACCATATTATTTAGCCTTTTCCACAAAATCGTCGTAAACTTGAAAATACAATTTTACTATGTTTGCTTACAGCAGATATGATTTGCTATTTTTAATTACCATACGCACTGCATCCTTCATGTTTTGAGAACTTGTGTTATTAATTTTTTGTCAATCTGTTGTCAGTTTATAACCATATTGATTAAAGCAAATAAAGCATAAAGAATCGTTATTAGTTGTAATAAAGTTTTGTGGGTAATATTTTGTTGAACTATTTTAAAACTATATGTAAAAAAAAAATTTATTTTATCATTTTTGTTTTAATATCAGATAATTATTAAAGTTATTAATAATTTATTAAAAGAAAAGCATATCTACCAAAAGAAAGCATAAATATCAATAATCTGAATAAAAAACTTTAACTTTTAAAATTATCTCTATAACAAACATAAGGAAGAAAATTTACTTTATTTAGCTAAAAATAAAAATAACTAAAAATAAAGATGGCTGACATATGAGCACATAAAATGATTACATTATCATCATGAGCAAAATGCTAAACTTTGAGAAAATGCCTCTTATTCACTGTGCGCTTCATTCCACTGTATCCCACCTTCCTTAATTGTCTTTAAGTCACATCTCTTTCTTATTTCTACAAATACTATCATGGTTGCTGATCAAAGGAGTTATTATTACCAAAGTATTATTTTGTTTGACTCATTATTCTGTCTTCACATGCTTTAAAAACTTTTTCTAGTTTTTCTGCCCACAATTCAACTCG